CAGCACATCCCAAAAGTGCTCTATTGCATTGAGATCTGGTGACTGTGGAGGCTATGTGAGTACAGTGATGTACAGTGATAATTAGTACGGTTAGTACGGATGTGGTACTAATGGGCCCAAAGTGTGCCAAGAAAATATTCCCCACACCATTACACCACCACCTGCTTAATTAGTAGAAGGCAGCATGGATCCATGCTTTCAAGTGGTTGATGCCAAATTTTGACCCTACATTTTGAATGTAACAGCAGAAATCGAGAATCATCAAACCAGGCAGCGTTTTTTCAATCTTCTACTATCCAGTTTTGGTCAACCTGTGTGAATTGTTGTCCCAGGGTGCTTTCACACCTAGACTTTTGTTTCAGAACCTGTCTTGTTTGCCCAGTTAGCGCGGTTCGTTTGGCATTTGTGAATCCAGCTATCGCACTCGGATCCGCGCCAAAACAATCGGTCATAGATCGCCCGAATGAGGTGGATTCGGCTGGATTGAAACAAATTCTCTAGCAGATTGATTGGTAGTGAGAAAGTGGCTATATCACAGTGTATGATGGATATGGCATATATACGGATATATAAAGAGAGAATTATGAGTAGAGTGGGAGGTCATTCCTAACTGTAAATGTGTGTTTCATGTTAAAGCCTATAATGCATAAGCCAACTGCTATGCATGAGAAAGTCTTACCTCTGATTTATACTTGGTGACGATGTCTGTGGGCATCACTTTTCAAAATGAAAGCACAGCTTTCGTAGCCTATCTGCCCCAAGGTTGCACATGTTGTGCATTCAGAGATGCTCTTCTGAATACCTCAGTTGTAACAAGTGGTTATTTGAGTTACTGTTGCTTTTCAGCTCAAACCAGTCTGGCCATTCTCCTCTGAGCTCTGCCCTTTTTCGGACCATTCTCTGTAAACACTAGATATGGTTGTGCATGAAAATCCCAGTCGATCAGCAGTTTCTGAAATATAACAACCATGCTACGTTCAAAGTCACTTAAATCACCTTTCTTCTCCATTCTGATGCTCGGTTTAAATTGCAGCAGATCATCTTGATCATGTCTATGCGCCTAAGCAAATTGAGCTGCCATGTGATTGCCTTATTTAAAATATGCGTTACAAGCAGTTGGACCTAATGGTCGGTGAGTGTATATATACACTGTAAAAAAAAAAAAAAATGCTGGGTTCCACACAATCGATTTGACATAGGACGACATAAAGAAATTATGTTAGTGTATTAGTTATTACAAATGAAAGTGGATTGAGCATAAAACAATTAAGTTGTCCCCAAAACACCCTCAAAAATTTTGTTGTTTCAGCTCATTTTCAATAAGCAGTTTGAACAAACAGCAAACATCATTTTTAGAGTGTACGTTCAAACATATGCTTGATATTTTGTTAAATTCAGAGATTGTAGAATCACAGCACTATATTTACTGTATATATAGAAAGAGGTAATGATCATAATATTGGTAATTTAATTGCATTTCAGTTTGTTCTTCCTGTTTTTTTTAAAGACATTGTGCACATGGCGTTTTGATTACCTTTAGATTAAATTGATGAAAGTCAATCTGTATACATAGAAAACAGAAAAAAGTAAGGCATCAGCTTCAGTGATACATTTAACTTGCATGGAAATAATCTGTAAAACCACAGATTTATTCTTGTTAAAAATACATAAAAGAATAAGTGATCATAATTCAAAATTTTATTATATTTTAGATTAATAAAACTTTGACAACTGAGTAAAAACTAGTGGTTTGAAGGAGAGTAAAAAAGTATTTCAAATAACAATTGAACATTTTTTGGAGCTTCACTGTGATTCTTCATTTGATATGCCATCAGATGTTTCTTGTTCAAGTTATTTTAGTGCATGTGTTGTAAATCATAGTAAAAATGTCTTTTATTTTGCTTTATAGTAATGTATGAGAAAAAAATAAGCTTTAATGTACTTTTAATGTTGCTTTAATAATACCTGAGATGTTGTCGTAATTATTGATAAGTGTGGTAAAATGTTAGTTTTACGCTAATTAGTATTAATATTGCACATTGAGAAACTCATATCTTGCAGATGGAAAATATGTGTTGCTCTATTTGCTGGAATTAGTAACAAGTGCAAATTGATTCATCCAGATTTTCTTTGTTGGATATAGTAGAGTTGATCCACAGCTTCTTCCTCGCTGTTTTCTAATCCAGTTCCATTTGATGAAATGAATCGAGTCATAAATTGCTACGTTTCTTATTGCCATCGCTGATGTGCCAGTTTTCCAGGCTTTGTATGTTAAAAGCAGATCACCCAGACTTTTTCCACTGCATGCGCAAAACATGCATATGCCAACATTCAACTTCATTTTTAACCAGAGAAAATATGGCAACTCCTGCCTTTTTGACCAAACTTCATAATGACATGGTGCTCTGAGTCAATCAAATAAACCTTGACAGATTCTCTCTGGAGCATCAGCAGCACATAAAACCCCCGAAAGCAACTCGACATTACTGTAAATGCATACAAGCAGATAAAATTGAATTGAGTGTTGGTGTGCTGGAACAGGTAGAATTAAAACAGGACATCATAGTATTTGTGGGCTTTCTGAACAGATACTATAGAGTAGGTTTATATTGGTGTCAGATTTAACTTTAAAATACTGGTCCATTAATTATTGTTAATGTATTTACTAACATGAACAAAAATTAGCAATACGTTTACTACTGTGTCTAGTCATCCTCGTAAACTTTTGTAAGTATTATTAAAGTTAAATAACTGTTGTTAACCTACTTTGCATTATCTATTGTTAACAAGCACAACTTTGGATTTTAATCATGCATTAGTTAATGTTGAGCTTAGGCCTGTCACGATATCTTATCTTTTCGTGGAAATATATAGCACCAAAATTAATTGCAAGAAATGATATTAGGTCATACTTTATTTTGATGGTCCATTTGTTGAATTTAAGTTACAATGCATCTACGTGCCAACTAATTCTCATTAGATTTTAAGTTGACTGTTAGGTTGGGGTTAGGGTTAGTGTAAATTGACATGTACTTGCAAAGTTTCTTATAGTCAGTTAAATGTCTGTTTAGCAGCAGTGTCAACAGATATTTAGCAGAAAGTCTATTTATGCTCAAATGGACCACAAAATAAAGTGTTACCCGATATTATTGTGATTTTAAGATTATTTTGATACTATAATAGCATCACAATGCAAGTGCTCTTCCAAAAACACATTATATTTTGTTCTTAAGAATATTTTATTTAATTATACTCATTTTAACCATTTATTTATTAGGCATTGGAGTCACAATGTGAAATATCCTTAACATATAATAATAAAAATAAATGTTAACAAAAAAGTGCAAGGTAGAAAGAACTAGAAAAAAAAGTAATAGATCTGTTTTCATTCATCAGGCACCCATGAAAATATACTATAGTAATTTATAGTAAATACAACAGTATTTTTTTTTTAACCAAACTGACACTGACATTGTTTTTTATATATGGGCCATATATATATATGTATATGTATATATATATATATATATATATGTATATATATATATATATGTATATATATGTATATATATGTATATATATATTTATGTATATATATGTATATATATATATATATATATATATATATATATATATATATATGTATTATTATTTTATTATTATTATTTTTAACTAGCAAATTAACATCACCTAAGTTTAATAAACGCTTTAGTAGTTTTCATTAGGAGTTTAGTTCGATTAACTAATGTTAACTATTGGAGCGTTATTGCATAGAGTTACAGAGTGTTCACACTGCCATCGGCGAGAGGGTCATTTGCTCCAGCTGCCCTGCCATTAGCACTCTCAATGCTTAAAAAATCTATTTAAAGCTGTTTGTTTAGTGCGGATTTAGTGGTAATTTAAATGGTTGTCTAATGACCTGTCCACATGAACACAAGGCTTTTTTCTATGCAGTTTGTGCACACTGAAATGATCAGGAAGACTGAAATCAGGAGACCTGAAAACTCGATCAGAGTGAAGATTTTCCTAAACTCATAGTACAGTGTGGTCTTGTGGACATGATAACCGTTTTGCCTCATGATGTCAGTTGCGTCGCTTCACTCTCGTTGGTGAATTCTCTCATTAAACATCAGGGGATAGCATATCGTTCATCGAATGCGCACTTTAGAATCTCCTCTGAAGGAGTACTGTAGGTTATCTGGGAACTTCTCACATACTGATTTTTGAATACTATGAATTCGGACATACTGTATTTAGCGTACAATATAATATAGAAGTATTAAATTTCAGATGCAGCACAGGTCTTCACACTAATGTTAATTTGAACCTAGCCTTTAATACAAACTGGGAAACCCGCTATGGCAATAATCAAACTCTATTGGACTGCATTCTCTGGAGTCCTCTCAAGTGGTAGACTTGTACATTCTAATAATAATAAGTTGCCCTGAACCATGTCATAGCTTATTACTATGAAGTTTACTGATTTAAACTCTCCTTGACTATCACACTGTCTAAAATTTGCAACACCAGTTTCACCAGAGCTCGTCGATGGCTCCCATTGAAAGGGAATGAGTTCTACTTTGATGCTTTTGCTAACGTATGGCAATATGAACCCACAATTTAAGTACAATAAGACATATAATAGTGACAATTTTTAATCAATATCTCAGCATGTAGTAGAATAGATTAACATGTATTGTTCATGTTTGAACAAATAATGAACTAAAAAAAATTCTAAGCATAAGTAGCTGTTATGAACACCCCTTAAATACTTAATACTAAAACACTAAAACTTAAAATGCTAAATAATTATTTGTTGTGTTTTTAAGTGCTCAATATCAATATTAAGCATGTTCATTATCACAATTTATTAAATTTTGTCATATGTCTGCAGTGGAGTCATTAAATAAAATCCTTGCACAGCAAACCACCTACGATGAATAAAAATGGTGTTTTATTGTTTGGAGGTCTGGTAACTTTCCTTTTCTTGTGGACACCAGCAGGATTGCTTCACAGTGGAAGGGGAGGATCTTAAGCATGACTTTGAGCGCTTGCAGCTGGCTATGGAGATGGTGGGCTTCCTTCCCACCACGCGTAAACAGTGAGTTTCTCCAAAACACACAGCTTTGCATACAGTTTTTACGATTCCAGCAGTTATGTGCTTATGTTAAATATTTATTCTATTAAATAACAGTTTACATAAAAAAATACTTAATACTTTTTGCTTTTTTGGGCCAGAAAAAACTAATGCTGTTATTATTATTTTTTAACATCTTGGGTTATTTTCAGATAGATAAAAGTGAAGAAAAATGTAGCTGTTAGACTTTACAAAAAAGAAAAAAAAAGCATTAAAAAAATGCTCTATTTTAAATCTCCTGAGATCATATGATAGCTTTGCAAATTTTGACATGCTTCAATCACATTCATGAGAATTTAAGAGATTTGTTTTTGAGATCTTTTGAGAAATTTTTGTTATGAATACACTGTTGATGCTGTACTGTATTACTAGGTGGGAAGAGAGTCACTGAAATAGCTTACTGTAAATCCATACTGTTTATTGCAAAGATTTTGTGCAGTTTCAGGAGAAATGGGTAGTCCCTGTAGGTAAATGGTTTTGATTTGGATGGGCTAATTGCATATTTTATAATATTTGTTGTTGTTTTTAAATCTTAAAAGCTTAATTCATTGCATATGTGAAATAAATTACCAGTAAGATTTGTTAAAATATTTCTTTCTGTACTTCATGGAAAAAAAGAAAGTCTCACTAAACAGGATTATTTAAGCAAAAAATGGTTAAAAACACTACCTGCTAAAAAGGAATGAATGGTATAATTGTGTTTCTATCCATTTGTATCTCTCACACAGGAACATGATTTTTGTTTTCCTCTTTGCAGGATATTCTCTTTGCTATCAGCTATTCTTCATTTAGGGAATATCCGATACAAGAAGAAGATCTACCGGGATGACTCCATTGACATCTGCAATCCTGAGGTTCTCCCAGTAGTATCAGAGCTGCTTGAGGTACACAAACAACATCACAAAATCACAATGTATGCTCAAATTAATAGTTTTTTTTATTGTGCCGAGCTAAGAATAATTGTGATGAATCACATCCAAAATAAAAGTTTGTTTTACATACTTATACATACGTATATGCATATATTTGACAAAATGCTGATTTATATTTAGATATTAAATATGTATGTATAGTATGCAAATTATATATATATAATTTAAATGTTTATGCAATTTTTCAAATAGTGCATGTATGTATGTGTGTGTATTACATATATAATAACAAAATATAATAAACAGACACATACATAATTATGTCAAAACAAACTTTTATTTTGCATGCGAAAGTAATAAATAGATTACTTAAAAAAACTTTTGTTTTGGATTCAATTAATTGAGATTAATCTTTGCCCAGCACATTTTTTATATATATCCAGTCAAACCTAAAATGATTCATACCCTTTGTAAATTTGGAGTCAGAACTTTGCCATGGGGATGTATAATTTTGGGCTTGACTGTACATTTGAACATGTTAAACAAAATAGTTTTTTCTTTGCACTTTTGGAAAAGGTAACTTTGTCAAGTTTTTTGGATGCCTATAAACTGAACATACAATATAAACATAATTTTGTGGTTTTGCAGTTTATGCTGAAATTATAATAAGATTTTTTTTTAAAAATTGTGCACTTTAAAGCCCGTTTACACATATGTGACCATCAATTTTGAGATTCAGATATCATCTGAAAGATGAATATACTGTACATCATTTCCATTAATGTGTACTTTGGAGGATTGGACAATATTTGGCTGAGTTGCAACTATTTTATTCTTTCATTTTCCTTTGGCTTAGTCCAAGGGTGGGCAAACTCGGTCCTGGAGGGCCAGTGTCCTGCACAGCTCCAACTCTAATCAAACACACCTGCTTATAGATTTCTAGTGATCTTGAAGACACTGATTGGCATGTTCAGGTGTTTTTGATTAGAGTTGGAGCTAAACTATGCAGGACACCGGTCCTCCAGGACCGAGTTTGCCCACCCCTGGCTTAGTCCCTTTTTTATCAGGGGTTACCATAGTGCTGGCATGTCCAAACTCGGTCCTGGAGGGCTGGTGTCCTGCAAAGTTTAGTTCCAACCTCAATTAGACACACCTGGGCTAGCTAATCAAGCTCTTAATAGGCTTTCTAGAAACATCTTGCAAGTGTGTTGAAGCAAGTTGGGGCTAAAATCTGCAGGACACCGGCCCTCCAGGACCGAGTTTGGACACCCCTGCCATAGTGGAATGAACCGCCAACTGTTCCGGCATATGTTTTCTGCAGCGGATGCCCTTCCAGCAGCAACCCAGTACTGGGAAACACCCATACACACTGATTCACACACACACACGCACACATACACATACACCACAGCTAATTTTGTTTACCCAAATCACATATAGCACATGTCTTTGGACTATGGAGGAAACTGGAGTACCCAAAGAAAACCCATGCCTGATTGAAGTGCTTACCAATGCAAATTACTGATAAAAACTTTACAGTGAGAAATAAAAAAATTGACATCACTGGACTATTTACTTAATATTTATAGGTTTTTGGCATTTAAATAGCAATAATTTTTATCCATACAATGGGTTTTCTGTGGTCTAGGGCAGAGGTGCCATTCATTATGAGGCGAGGCAGTAGCGCAGTAGGTAGTGCTGTCGCCTCACAGCAAGAAGGTCGCTGGGTCGCTGGTTCGAGCCTCGGCTCAGTTGGCGTTTCTGTGTGGAGTTTGCATGTTCTCCCTGCGTTCGCGTGGGTTTCCTGCGGGTGCTCCGTTTTCCCCCACAGTCCAAAGACATGCGGTACAGGTGAATTGGGTAGGCTAAATTGTCCGTAGTGTATGAGTGTGTGTGTGTGAATGTGTGTTTGGATGTTTCCCAGAGATGGATTGTGGCAAGAAAGCCATCCGCTGCGAAAAAACTTGCTGGATAAGTTGGCGGTTCATTCCGTTGTGGCGACCCCGGAATATTAAAGGGACTAAGCCGACAAGACAATGAATGAAGACTTTCATTATAAGACATTAAAAATAATCCTATTATTAATAATCCACCATTAGTTAATATAAAGCAACATTTTTAAATATGTTTTTAAATATTAGCAAATAAATCAGGAAATTACAGCATAGCAAAATGAATATAAAACAGTTTGGTATATTCAAGTTTAACCAACACCCTTTATTCATGTTTGGTTGTTGGCCCTTCATTAGAAAAAGTTTGGGCATCCCTGGTTTAGGGTCACATATTGTGTTTCCAGCTCCACAAAATGCTGCTATTAGGCAAATTTTATATTTTTAATTAAATAAAGCAAAGTAAATGCTCATTTTTAGATTAAAAAATGGAGGATTAAAGATTACTAAGTTTACAAGCCTCAAATAACAGGACACTGAAACACCGTGATAGTTGTCAGTACAGCATTAGTGGATTTCTTACAGTATACAGAACCATGCAGATGAGCTTTTTAAAGAAATGATTAGGGATTAAAATGATAAGGGATTGATTATTTGTTTTCCTGAGATTTTTACTGGGGCTGAAGCATTGATTCAGTGGGCATGTTTGCATGGAATACCTGGGTAAAAATCTATTGGATTTTTGATTCTGAAACTTTTGAATATATAATAGATGTACAAAATGTCTAAAAAAAAGATAGGTGAATTTGTCTACATGGGAATTAGCTCTTAGAGCAAAGTTTTAGTTGTCGTGTTTAAATCAAAGTAATCCGTTGTGAGTGTAATTGTTGTTTTTGCCCTGATGACATATATCAAAGGTGCCAATTTCATTTTTGGAGAGCCGCAATCCTGCTGACTTTCACTCCAACCCTAATCAAACACACCTGAACAAGCTAATCAAGGTCTAAGTGTTACTAGAAAGCTACTGCTGTGTCACCATTCACCTACTTACACTACGCCCTAAAAATACACACTGTTCTGGTGAAGAAAAATAAACAATTCTTAGTGTGTAACAAAAGTAGACAAGCTTTTGGACATACTGCTTCATCATTAATAGACCATTTAAACTGCGCTGTCAGTCATCTTGTCATTTTATATTTCATTTCTTGGTGCAAATGAGATAAAGCATCATGTTAGTCTTTCAAGCAGAGAAATCATCTGGGGCCTCATGTACGAAGACTTGCGTGGAAATCTTACTAAAACATTGCGTACGCACAAAGCTGTAAATGTGCGTACGCAGAAAAAAATTCAGATGTATGAAACACTGCGTACGCCGAATCTCACGCATATTCTTTTGTACATATGAATGAACGTGAAACTGAGTGCAACATGCACGAGCACAAAACCCCTCCCTGCCTCCTCCCCCGTATGAATATGATAATGACTATGCTAATGGCAAAACTCAACGAAAAAGCAATAGCAAAATCAAGCAAAAAGAGAAACTTTGAACCGAATGTGAAATGGAAGAGCTGCTTTCGGAGGTTGACTGGAGACAAGCGGTGTTATTTGCAAGTTTGTTCTCCCGAATTAACAACTAAAGAAAAAAATGGAGTGGGAGAGTTTAGCTGATGCGGTTAACACAGTTGGGTCTGAACGTCGCACTGAGTGCATTAAAAAAAGAAATAGTGTGGTTTATATCTGTAAAATGTTGCAGTACCCTTAGCAGTCTCAGTGGCGCACCTCGTAAGACGAATGTGATCATGTTTTGACACGTTCAAGCATAAACTCGGCTCGAATCCAGCGTCTGATAAACTCTTTCTTCTTTTTCCCCCGCTACATATCAGATTTTGCCCACTATTTATCACGAGAAAGACAAGTAGGAATCATCAATAAGTTTGTGCATCATATTTTATTTGCACATTTATTGAATGGAAATGTTTCTGATTCACGCATGCAAATTCATCTTCAGATGGTGCCTTTATAGCAATGTGCGTGCAGTAGATAGCTCAGATTACATTGGGAAAACAGGCGACCGCTGCAAATTGTGCTTTAATGTTTAGCTGGTCAAATGTATGGTATGGAAAACTTACATACCTACTAGATGAACCCGTCTCATACAGCTGCCATTGCAAGGCTCAGACACTTTGTAGAGAGGAATTTAACACAACTGCCTCTAGGAGTCGCCAAATAAAAATAAAACAGACACGCACAAAAAATGTGCGTACGCCAGCCATAAAGCTCTCGTGAAGCTGCGCACATTCCCACGTTCAGTTCATCGTTAGTAAATCCAAACGTGAGCGATTCTGAGCGTGAAACCTGGCGTACGCAAAGTTCTTGTGTGTACGCAGCGTTGATACATGAGGCCCCTGGTGTTTGCCTAATAAGTCACTCTGAAGTTATTGACCAAGCATATCGTTTTAAAAGGTCAGTTTTGTGCGGCTGGACTGTAACAATTGTAACATTAAGTCAATATTTTGGATCTGGATGGTTATAAATATTATTTATTGAACCTCTTAACCTACAGTCGACCTATCCATTTTGCATATCCATCATGTTTTCGATACATTATTGCTATGTTTACAGTGTGTCAATATGCAACATATTATGTGTTGAAGCCAATTTTAGTCATTAGAGTGTGCACAAATGTGCAATTCATATTTTTATAGATATACATTGCCTATAGAAAATCATTATACCCCTTTGAAATAATGACTTTACTAGTCATTCAGCCTAAAATAAAAACACATTCCAAATAACTTTTGCAGACTTTGAAATGTTTTTAGAGTCATCTTCTAACCTGTGCCTTTATCCCGAAGGTCTTCTCAAAGCAGGGTGTAATGTGAGTGAAGGTATAGATTTTCACAGGGTATGAGGATTTTCTGTAGGCACATTAATTGGTCTGTATTTCAACTTGGGACTCAGAAATGTTTTGTTCAAGCCCAGACTCATTGGAAATACATGCTCATTGGAAAAATATGATTTAGGCCCACTGGCGCATGGTCTAACAAGGCTGTGCTTATTCTCCTAATGGGTTATGGGGGTGTTTCGAGCAAATTGTGCATTAAACAAATCAGAGTCTCATTTCCCATTCTCTTTAAGATTCAGTTGCTTCGCACCATGGCACATTTGCTATTTACATGGCAGATTTTGTAAGTGGAAAACTAAAAGATTCACTAGTGAGAAAACAGTTAAACAGAGCATCTACAGCGAGAGGATAAAAAACGAGACTCCTCTATTCAGCCTGTTTACTTTCTCTTTCTCTTCACTTTTACTCTTTACTCTTTTACTTTCGTGGATAAGAAAGCGGTGTTGTACGCACTCCACTGTAGACATCCATTAGCCCACATATTTAATTGAATTTGTTAAGCTCAGATTAGTTTCAAAAATATTTCTAAATTCAGTTCTAATTTTCAGCAAACGAATAAATGAACAATAATTATGATGTGTGGTCAAACAACTTAGTTATACAAGTTATACAACAAGTTACAACAAGGGCAAGCTAAAATTGTCTGTAGTGTATGTGTGTGAATGAGTGTGTATGGATGTTTCCCAGTGATGGGTTGCAGCTGGAAGGGCATCTGCTGCGTAAAACATATGCTGGATAAGTTGGCGGTTCATTCCGCTGTGGTGACCCCAGATTAACAAAGTTAATTTGTAACTAGTAACACACCTTAGTAACACATGCATATCACACCATGACAAGAGAAGCGTCCCATGAACCATCCAAAAATGTTTAACCTTGCCGCATACGTAATGCACACATTCTGAGAGATTGGAGCAAATCTTTTGGAAATAAAGCAAGGCTGGGTTAGTTTCGCAGCGGATTTGGTCAGCAAACAGGCCTACTCAAGGAAGCAGATAGTTTTCCTGAATGAAGGCTGTGGAGGGCCAGCAGGAAATAGGATGTGATTGCTCAGAGCCTTTGAACTCAACACATACATAATGTATCGAAATACCTCTCTATACCAAGACCTCTTGTGGCCTAATAGGCTGATCAAAGCAAACCTGGCCTTTATCCTCACAAACACACGCGCCTTCATAAATCCCCTCTGAAGGAATAAGAGAATGAACACTCGCTCAAGTGTTTTACATTTACCCTCACACAGCAGAGAAGGGAAGTGTACGTGCTGGTGTGTGAGTGTACACGTGTGTGTGTGTATGTGTGTGTGTGTGTGTGTGTGTGTGAAGTCTGCAGACCTGCCTGCACCTCAAAAACAATATGATATATGCAGATGAGGCCAGTCCAGAGCTCTTTCACATCTGTTCAGTATTACAGAGTTGAATGACTCAACATCAAGCTCAGCGAGTTTATATAATTACTATATTAAAAGTAGACGTTGTTCCCAGTATACACAGACCAGCTGCATATTTCTCACAGTTCACCGCTAGGTTCATTTCAGCTCTTTGATATGTCAGTGAGCAAGTGTTGAAGTCTCTCAATTGTCCGCTTTGACCCCGGCACTGCTTTAGCTTTATAACAGTTTTGTTGATGTGCTTTGCAAGTACTAAGGAAATATGTTGTGGTTTATTGAACCTTTTGCTTCATTATTGTTAACAATTTTATTTGTGCAGAATTTTATAGCTGCCGTCATTCTGAACTTTCATATAAAGCTGTACCCAATTTTTCTCCAGACCATATTTACATTCGAAGGGCCCTGTCATACATCCGATGCAATGCGGCGCAAGGCGCGGCGCAAATATTATTTGCTAGTTATTTGCTGAGGCGCATTGCTGGTGCGTTGCTATTTTGAGAAACTATAATAGATTTTTCATTAGACCAAAACAAACCCGGTCTAAAGTCCAGCGCAGAGTTGCGCCTCGCTTACACACTGCTTAATAGCCTACACACGAGATGTAGGGCAATACGCAAATATCTTTACATATGAAAAATTGAAATATTAAGGATAAATATAGGATATAATAAGAATATATATAGGATATAAATTTAAAGTATTAAAATATTACTACATTACTACAATTAAGCTGTCATTGTGGCAGATGGTGGAAACACCATTACTGACTTTGTAATTTTTTTTGTTATTTGAGGCTATCCTTGTTATTGTCTAAATTTATGGGGTAATTAATATTAAACTAATGAAAAGTGTTTCTTCTCATACATTATTAGTAATATCAAAGGGAACTTTTACTTATTTTATAAAAGTTCTGAGCAAATAGGAAAAGCACTCATGTAAATAAGAATATCCCTAACTTATTGTGAGTAGTGTGAGTTAAGCCAACACAATTCTTACATTTTTTTTTTTGGCAAAACTTAATTGTTTTATGTTCAATCCACTTAAATTTGTAAAAATGATTACGCTAAGGAATTGTGTGGAACCCAGCATTTTTTATAGTGTAGAATGAAATATAAACACATTTGGTAAAAGTCCAGCTACTAATATAATTTTTATTTGAACAAAGTTCTTAAATTACAACATTTAAAAACTGTCAAAATGACTGTCTCGGTAGTTTTAGTGTTAAAGCAGTGTAGTTTTTATTTGCTACATAATGAATGTTACATTTACGATCTAGATACAGTAGTGTTACAATAAACACATTCTGTCTTACTTTTCGGAGGTCCATCCGGTGTTTAAATGACAGTTCAACAGTGCAGGCCTCATTTTGAGGGTATTTGAATATACACTTCTCCCAATGCCATTAGTCCTTGTTCATCTACAGTACGTACTGTAACTAAACATTGGCTTGAGTCTTACTGTGATCCACATGTGTTACTGCTGATGGAACTGGAGAATTGGGGTACAGTGTTGATAACAGCACAATGTTAAAATCTGTTAATTTATTTTTTATTTTTCAAATGAATAACTTAAAATAAAAAAGCTGTTTTGTTTCCCAACAGGTCAAGGAGGAAATGCTCTTTGAGGCCCTGACCACACGGAAGACTGTGACAGTGGGCGAGAAGCTGATAGTCCCCTACAAACTAGCAGAGGTAATCAAAAAAATAAGAAATATCTGCCTTTGTACAAACTAAAATGGCAATCATAGTCTAAACATTCCCTTAGTAGAGATAGTTATAACTACACCGGCTGAAATTAGCTCATGATCATGTAGAGGTTTCAAGTTAGGATATTTTCTTTCATTTCTTTTTTTTTAAGGACACGTATAAGCATGAGCAAGTTGACAGGGAAGTAATTTACACTGATTAAATTGCTATATAGTAGCTAGCAGGATGGCTGTGAAGCACAGTAATGCATCACAACAAACTGAAAGTGATGTTCATATGAATGTGGTCAGGTTCTAAATATGAAGGTCTTTATGTGGCTGTTTTTGAACTCATCCAAAAGTGAGATTTCAATTTTAATTTCTAACATTTTCTATTTTATTCCTATTTCTTTCATCCACTGCCTCAATCACATGAAGCTTACAGTGCCGTAATATGTTTCTCAAGGGCTTCTTCATGCTCCATCATCATAATTAGAACCAGCCATGGGGTTTTTCAGAGGTTTTTCTAGCATTAGGAGTCTGTTCTCCTGTCATCTTTAAATAATGAACTGGTGAATGCTTTTATTGAAATCATACGTTCACAGTCACCATTTTGGTTAACTTAATAGATTCCTCGAACTTCATATGCTTAAAGATTTAAATGTTAAAGTCCTTGCAAATATAGACTCAAGTCATTCATAGAACCACAAATAAATGTTTTCTTCTCTTCTGACTGGGGCTGGTCAATGTATTGTATATACTGAATTAGCAATGACTTTCTGGCGGTAAAATGAATAACGTTTTGAATGGTTTTAATGGACTATTCAGTTACTTATTTGACATTACGTATTAATCATTTGACTCTCTCAGTACTCTCTAGTCTTAAATTAAATTAAGCATCAAAGAAGCACATTATTTCAACTTCTGTTGTGCGTTTGTCAATAGTAAATGAAAGTGAAACGTAAAAGCACATTATGTCCTCGTTTTATGTTAGATTTACAGATACTAGTTGTCCATAAGAAAAAAGAATCCCACACTTCTTGAAAGTGCTTGAATTTCATACATGTGGATTCAAGCCCTGGGAAGTATTTAAAAAACAAACATGGGATCTCGAAAGTGCTTGAATTAAATTTGAAATGAGTTTTGCTTGTGGTGATAACAAAAACAGAAAGAAAAAAGAGAAAATTCTTCATTTTAAAAGTATTGTGTTTATATTATCTGATTTAAATTACATTTAAAAATTGTGCAATAATTGACAAATTTGATAATTATTTCAGAAACCCCATTTGAATAATACTAGTATTGAATTTAACATCTTTTATTAAAGTTTATTTGAACATGACCAAATTGTTTTAAAAAAATGCCACATTATAAACACCAAACTGTAAAAATGCTGGATTCCATGCCATCTATTTGTGTTGGGGCGACATGAATGATTTAATTTAACTTAGTTTTCACAAAATTAAGTAGATTGAGCATAAAACAATGAAGTATAATGAAGTATGAAAAATTGTGTTGTTTCAACTCATTTTAAATAAGTTGTTTGAACAAAGAGCAAGCATAATGTAGCTGTAAATATTAAGTGTAAGTGAAAAGTTAAGTACAGTAAGGATGTTCATGATGTTCTTAACATTTTATATTTTCCCTCATTCCCATATATTTTAACTCTTTTGTGTGAAGTAACGATAATAATAATGATCCATAAGTATAATTTACATTTAGGTTGTTTTTAGTTTCATTTTTGTTGTGCTTGGTTGGCCTAGACTTGTCATGCACTGACTTTTTAAGCTTCAAAAAAGCGACCTGCATCAGATTGATGCTTCATTTAATATAAAAAATAAATAAATAAATAAATAAAGAAGAAGAAGAAGAAGAAGAAGAAGAAGAAGAAGAAGAAGAAGAACTAGGGATGCATTTAAATTAAAGTTGTGGGTTAAAAGTAAAAATTCTGCAATGGATGCATTTAGCCGAAAAGCCAAACCAAAATGCTTTGTATAATGTATTAATCATTTTGTGAAATGATATAAAGTCATTTTGTAATACTTTTTATATTTAACTCGATATCTTAAATTATATTTAATTAAATAAGGGGAAAAAAAGCCAATAAAACAACCACATTGTATTGACAGTAAAATACTGATTTGTGAATATGTTTAAAGACATAATATAGCAAAATTATAATTATAAAATGCTACATATAGAGAACATTACTTTAAAGTGCTCAACATGAGCACATTGTTGTAACAGATTGACCAATGTTGTATGACCCATACTGTACACCCTTATGTCTTATTCACACGGGGCGTCGGCATCAGCATCAACGCTTCCTATTAACTTTTAATGAATTCGTCAGCGCCACTTCAACAGCGTTGCTCAACGGAAGCGTCAGCCAATCAGATCACTTCATGCAAATACCCCAGCTCAGACAGTAACTGATTGCGGACTAATTTCATTGGCTGATGCTGCTATGACGATTGCATCAGTCCCAACTTCAGACATGCCCTCCGTCAAGCACTGAAGCTGAAGCCCTGTGTTAATCGAGCCCTAAATGAAGGGTTATTTTGCGGAAAACTGAGTCTGATCTATTCTGCTGGAGCCTTAAACTTTATATTCTCAGAAAGATGGTATTACTTGTCTTAACCAATCTCACAGAGGGTCAAATTGTGGAAAAAGTCCTACTGAATCATCTCTAAGAACTGGCCACAGTCATAAGCGAGGAGCAGATGTTTGACAGTAGCAATAGCTGGGGGCAGATAACCTCACTGACGATCAGTGTTAGTCCCATTTTGATTAGTGCTGATTTGAAACCAAAACAAGCCTGCGTGGGATGTTCCATATGGCGTTGATCCAGAACACACACATGCACATGCGCGCACACACACACATGCACATATTTATGTAGAGGAATCACATATGGCAGACTGTCATATCTCTGATTGTTTGTGAATATGAATTAGTGAGGCTGTCACAGACCTTAATGGAAACCAGCTCAGATGCCTACTCCAGCTCTTCTGATTGTCTTCTAAATCAACATTTCTAATCAATCTGGTTGACTTTTGCAAAGACATTTTCTTTCAGCTTCCGTTGAAGGCAAGATCAAGGCTACATCTACAGTTGTAGGGGTGAAAGATACTGGAAAAATATGCCATATTGCTGTTGAATATTGCGATAACGATATCTATTCAGTTTAAAACCCAACAATCAACTTTATCAAATGAATTGAGTGAAGTTAACTCAAAATTTACTGAAAGTTCATTCTACTCATTTGAAAAGAGTTTTGAACTCAGTGTTGATGGGAATGAGTTAATTAAATACCTCATTAGTGGAGAACTTACTGTGAACTTACTCTTTAGGATCAGTTTTTGAACTAAAATGGTTTGTAGCAATCAAGTTTCCTTAAACGGTTTTAGTTGCCTTAACTTATTAGGTTTTACAGTACTTAGTTAGTTTAAGTTCTCTACATTTTTTGGGTTTTGCTGTGCTCAAATTGCTCCGTTTACTCAAATGGATTAGGTTCACAGTACTCATTAGGATTAGTGAACTTAAATAGTTTGCTGCAATCAGTTTCCTCAAACGGTTATCTTAGCTTTTTGAGATTTTACAGTGTTGCAATATATTATTTCCCTAAAGAAAAGTTATTTTTATTCACTTTTTTAAATAATTTATTTAGGGAATTACTGTACTAAAATAAACAGGTAATATTTGATGAAACATTTTTGATCTAAAAAAAAAAAAACTGTCAATGTGCAAACATTGACATACTACACTGTGATAAAATGTCAGCAAATTAGCAGTTTTCCGTATTATGTAATTCATGTTTTTATGTTTAATGTAATATTTGTTTGTTTCTGCTTTTGAATTGCATTTTTGAAAAGTTAAAGGTTAAAGTAAAAATTAAAAAAAATTAATTATATGAACATTTTAATATTTTTAAAATGAAATATTGTCTGGGTCTGTACAAAAAGCCTTGTAATAAACTGGTAGTACATCTGATTATTTTTCAGACTTATTTCTCTATATATTATTTCTTAAACATTATTTCAAACTTAATTTGTTAAACTGCAGAGTTGAATTTTCAACTTTAAAAGTCAACAGAGCAGAGATCAAGGTCCCATAATGCAATTCACAACTGTAAATAAAAAGAAAACACTTGTGAATCACAAAATACTTAAATTAATTATATAATCATTAATTTAACAGATATTTTTTTACAGTGTACGAATGAAAGATAACAGATATTCATTTTTATTTTCATTTTGCTTAGTCCCTTTTTCATCAGGGGTTGTCACAGCAAAATGAACCGCCAACTTATCCAGCATATGTTTTACACAGCGGATGTTCTTCCAGCAGCAATCCTATACTGGGAAACATTCATTCACACTCATTCAAACACATACACTTTGACCAATTTAGGTAATTCAATTCACTTATAGCGCATGTCTTTAGACTGTAGGGGAAACCAGAGCACCCGGAGGAATACCAAGCTATGTATATAAAATTGGTTGAAGCAACACAGTTATTAAGTTTTTTTGGGGGGGAAAGCTTATTTGTATTATGTTCAATCTACCTAAATTTGTAAAAGCCATTAAGTTAACTCAATCGATTTGTGTTGGGACAACATGAAGAAATTGTGTGGAACCCAGTCTTTTTACAGTGTAGTAGCAGCTGTATTTCTGCTTCATAATATTCCATTGTGATTTAAAGTGTCATAATAAAAAAAAAAAAGATGTTAAAAAAAGAAACAAAAAGAATTTCTAACCAAATGTATCCATCTTTAAATTAGTTCCACCTGAAAAATTTAGACCAACTTACAACAGTGGACCACAGACTTCCTAAACTAAAATATACTGCATACAGTAGTAGGTTTCTCTGGCTTCATTTACCCTTCCTCATTATTATAAGTGACTCATTTCCAATTTACTCAGAACAGATTCAGGCCTTGTACTGTACTGAACTTTCTTTTTTGGATTTGGATATGTTTGCTCGTTTCTGCAGTGTAAGGTCAGCATTTTACCTGTTAATGCGAGTTGCACACCATTAAAAACAGTAGCAAATGATGTCAACTGTAATGCTTTCATTTTGAAATCAAGATTTGCATTAGTTTACATCAAATACCATTGCATACAAGGACAAAAAATAGCTTTTATATTGCCATGTAGAACATTTTAATGCATTTACACATGTTAATGAGAGAGAAAGGGAGCATAAGTGCAACATCCACCCTGTGAACAATATAAACTAATATAAAATTATTACATACATCATGTGCATAAATCATACCACATGAACATGACATTAAAATGCCTACTGGTTAAAAAAAAGAAAGAAATTAAATTAAAAGAAAAGGGTCAGATTACAACTTTTCTGTCATAAACTACAGCAAATCAACTTGTCAAAAAATTTGCTTGGCTGTAGTGTGGACTCCACTATACTGTATATCTGTGTCTGTCTGTCTGTCTGTCTGTCCATCCATCCATCCTTCCATCCTTCCATCCATCCATCCATCCATCCATCCATCCATCCTTCCTTCCATCCATCCATCCATCCATCCATCCTTCCATCCATCCATCCATCCATCCATCCATCCATCCATCCATCCATCCATCCATCCATCCATCCATCCTTCCTTCCATCCTTCCATCCATCCTTCCATCCATCCATCCATCCATCCATCCTTCCTTCCATCCTTCCATCCATCCTTCCATCCATCCATCCATCCATCCATCCATCCATCCATCCATCCATCCATCAAAATATATAGTCAAGCCCAAAGTTATTCATATCCCAGGCAATTTCTGGCTTAAAGTTATTTTTATTCAACTTGTATTAATTTTTAATAAGGCATCAGATATTAGTCACATTTAAAGGACAAAAAAATATATATATACTACTCCATACACTAATAGACACAGTCAGAATTGATCATCAGAGTCTGTGGTATAAACGCAGCCAGTAGTCCCATTTGAAATTTGCAGGCAACTCGCAGCCATTAAATGAAGGTCACGTCCAAGAACACAAAGTTTCATGTCATTGTGATGTTTCTGTTTCCTAGTTTTGATGATATATTTTCATTTTGTTCTTGTAGGCTGGGACAGTAAGAGACTCTATGGCAAAGTCACTCTACAGTGCCCTTTTTGACTGGATTGTGTTCAGGATAAATCACGCCTTACTCAACCAAAGGGACTTGGAGGAGTCAGCCAAGGTAACGTCATTTCTGTAGCGATAAATCCCAGAGAATGGTAAGGAGAAGGGCTGGATGCTAGCAGGGCCGTTTTGCTTCATGCATGGCAGTGGAGCCCTAGTGAGTCACCTGACAGCAATTACATTACGCAGCAGGAATATGAGTCCATCTGACAGAGACGCACCCTGTTTTTCTGTGGCTCGCGCTGCTTTAATCTCTAAATTATGGATGGAGGCATTATGTAATGGGATATATTCAGCCACACTGACTGGGCCCCTGCTGTTATGTAAAATTCGCTTGGAGATTTCTTCAAAGCGTTACGTTAGAGACCAGCTTAAAATACAGTGTGTAAACACACATTTATGGCAAAATGTGTTTGCTTGATAAAACATCTTGTTGCATTCAGAAACACTTCTTAAAGAGAATAAATTGCATTTATACACATTTTTCTCGCCTTCAGGTGGTTCCAGAGCTTTCTTTATTTTGCTGCAAACAAAAGAAAGTCATGTAGCCTTTGGCATACAAAGGGGGAAAATACTATTAAAGTCAATGACATCCAGTTTCCAGCATTCTTCAGATTATCTTCTTCAGTGTTGAGCAAGGTGTTTACCTTCTGAAGAACCAATGTAGTATTTATTTTAGTTACTTTAGCAGACTGCAGAAAACAGAAGCTCAGGGTATTTTGATTCTTTAAAGGGGTAGTTCATCCACAACTGAAATATTCTGTCATCATTTACTCACTCTTGTCACAAGCCTTTTTAAGTTAATTTGTTCAAAATGTTGGAATCCTTTAACCATTGAACTCCATAGTATTTATTTTTCCTACTTTGGAAGTCGATGTTTACAGGTTTTGTGTTCAAACGAACAAAGAAACTCGTAAAAGTTTGATAACATTTGATGGTGAGTAAATAGTGTGTACATTTTCATTTTGGGTGAGCTATCTATTTAATAGATAAAAACACAAATGAAAAGCAGCCAGTTGGAAATGCAAAATGTAATTGCATTTTGTTTTTTACCAGTGATTTTTTTGTTCATTTATTTAAAAACAGGCAGTTAAAGTTCTACTTTTTTTGCTAATGATCACAATAATAATGATAAAAATACATTTTACTACTTAAAATTGTATTACTTTTACTACTTACTGTATATACAGTGTACAATGTAATATAAAATGCTGTTATATACAATGCTGAAAACACCTCCCGAAAACAAAACAATGATGATTTTTCCACTTATTATTTTTTAATAAATATAACAGTGAAAATAAATTACTATATATAATATTTTGACATCCAATTTGTTATAAATGTTAATTTATAGAACACATTTGTGTGGAAAAGCTGTTAGTTTGCAAAAAAATGGCAAAATTGCTAATGTTTAGTTTTTTTTTTTTTTTTTTTTTTTTTTTTTTGCATGTTACAGAATGTTTATTCATTCTCAGAAACATTCCCTGTAGAGAATGTTTGCACATGTTGTTTGCACACTCATTTGCTGCAAACTCAGAAGGTTATGTAAAAAAAAAAAAAAAAAAAAAACAAGATCAAGAATGACACAAGTGTAAGGTGCTGTTTGCACTAGCGCATTTTCTTTTAAAAACTGCGTTTTAGAATGAAAGCACTCTCTGTTTACATTGGTGTTTTTATTGCTTTTTAACAAAACCATCTTTGTCTACATTATACAGCTCATAAAAGTATCCATACTTTTCATAATGCTCATTTGAGAGGGGCTTCACAAATCAGGGAAAGATGTGCAGTACTCCATGAGACAAGTCAGAAAGTGAATGAGGATTGCTGTGCCTCCATTTTCAAAAGTTAGCATTTCATCTGCACTGAAACAGAGCATCAGAATTTCCTAACCAAAATGGGCTCAATAGCATTTTCAAAACACTCACTTTTTACAGGGCAAATATGCAGGAGTGTGGATTACAGGCGCAATGGTAACAAACTTGATGCACTTAAATTAAATTGCACACGTTTCCTAAATAAACTCAAAAGTTCAGGCACAAGGCACCAAACTATAATCAGATATAATTGAATCAAAACCTTTGCTCTTTTAATTGCGTCCAGGGCTTTTAGAGGATTATTTTTTGACCCTGTAGAGTAAACAGCTGTAATGGGGTATATGCACAACTAGTATTTTTCAGGCAATGATTAACTTCCGGTGAGCTCTTAATAGGACTATTTTCAATCGTATACTGTAAGGTTCCTTTTATAGCATCGGTGTTCTGATATAATCACAATACATTCAGTTAAATAGGCTTAAACATGCATTTAGTTGTTCAAGCATGAAACAAGATGAAAGACTGCTCTGTCCAGATCAGCAGGCTAGTGCAGAAACTCCATTGAAAATACTGGGGTAAAATGTCGTATTTTAAAGACATGGCGGGGGGAAATGGAATTTAATGCAGTGCTTCTTGTCCCATCTGCGACCTACTTTATCATATATCTAACAGGCAGTAAAGATTGCTGATTTTTAAAAAAAAATCTGACCTTAAATGTGGAGATTTTATATTGGAAAGACAGTTCATTGGAAGCCCTGGAACTGGCTGGCTGAAAATGAAAACCCCCATATACCCCATTGGGTAACTTGCATGTATCCTTAACAAGTAAACCATAGACATATTTTTGCTAGCATGTTGCACAATAAAGCATCAATGTAGAGCTCTGTCCAGCTGTTTGTTTTTGCCAAAATGACTCCAAAAACATACTTTATATCATCACCTTTTCAGATCCTGTCCATCGGGGTCCTCGATATCTTTGGCTTCGAAGACTACGAAAACAACAGCTTCGAGCAATTCTGCATCAACTTCGCCAACGAGAGACTTCAGCACTATTTCAACCAACACATTTTCAAGCTGGAACAGGTAATTTTGTTTTTCCTTTCACTTACAGCTGGACCCAGAGATAACCATCAGCCTCTCTCCCCGCACACAGCTCAAGATTATAGCTTAATATCAGATTTATTGGCTGCTATTATGACTCAAGCTGTTTTGACTGCACACAGAATCAAAAGAGCAACCACATAATGCTCGACTGAATATCAGTTGGTCATCTATACGTTTGACCGGTGAAGTGCATGAATTTATGATTGAAACAAGCCAGGTATTATATACTGTAATCAAACATGTAGGGACATGTGCTTTTCATTGCGTGTGCTTGCTTTTGACTTGCATTTAAAGGGATAGTTTACTTAAAAATGAAAATGTACTGACTATTTACAAGTGGTTTCAGACTTTTATTATTTTTTTTTTTCTGTTGAACATTTGAAGAGTGTTACAAGTGGGGCTGCATGATACTGGACAAAAAGTGATATTGTGATATATGTTGCGATATGAAGATAACTTCACAAGATACTTATACAGATACGTCTAACTATATAGTTCTATACTCTAAGTTTGGTAAAGGAAAAATCATGGTTTGGGGTTAAATTTAATGTGGGGGCATGTGAGAGATCTGCAGAGTAGATGGCAACATCAACAGCCTGAGGTATCAAGAAATTTGTGCTGCCCATTACATTACAAACCACTGGAGAGGGCAAATTCTCTGCAGAACAGCACTCCTTGTCATACTTCAGCCTCCACATCAAAGTTCCTGGAAACAAAGATGGTGCTCCAGGATTGGCCAGCCCAGTTACCAGAGATCAACATTATTGAGCATGTCTGGAGTAAGATGAAGGAGGAGGCATTGAAGAATAATCCAAAGAATCTTGATGACCTCTGGGAGTCCTGCAAGAATGCTTTCTTTACCTCTCTAGATGACTTATTAATAAGTGATTTGAGTCATTGCAGAGATGTATGGATTCAGTCCTCCAAGCTCATAAGAGTCAGGGCCGGCGCATCCATATAGGCGACCTAGGCGGCTGCCTAGGGCGGCAAAATAGAGAGGGCGGCGTCCCCGAAACTACCCTCACCACCCGTGCCCTCAGTTATATCCGCGTCTAGGGCGGCAGAATAGAGAGAGCGGCGTCCGCGACACTACCCACACCACCCGCTCCCTAAGTTATATCCACGTCTAGTGCGGCAGAATAGAGAGAGCGGCGTCCGCAACACTACCCGCACCACCCATACCCTAAGTTATATCCACGTCTAGTGCGTCAGAATAGAGAGAGCGGCGTCCGCAACACTACCCGCACCACCCATGACCTAAGTTATATCCACGTCTTGTGCGGCAGAGTAGAGAGAGCAACATCCGCAACACTACCCGCACCACCCATGCCCTAAGTTATATCCACGTCTAGTGCGGCAGAGTAGAGAGAGCGGCGTCCGCAACACTACCCACACCACCCATGCCCTAAGTTATATCCACGTCTTGTGCGGCAGAATAGAGGGAGCGGCGTCCGCAACACTACCCGCACCACCCATACCCTAAGTTATATCCACGTCTAGTGCGTCAGAATAGAGAGAGCGGCGTCCGCAACACTACCCGCACCACCCATGACCTAAGTTATATCCACGTCTTGTGCGGCAGAATAGAGAGAGCGGTGTTCCCGACACTACCCTCAGCACCCCCCCTTCCACCCCCGTTTATGGGCGGCATGACCTTCCTTTGCCTAGAGCGGCACTTCAGCTTGCTCCGGCCCTGATGAGAGTCATACACAATATTGGTTCTTTTTCCACTGCACCATGACTTTATATTCTATACTGTACATTATTTCTGTTAAGTAACAAGACTTTACCCTAAGAAAAGTTAGACCGTACTGTCCTAATGAAATAATTAAAAATCAAGGTATGATCATATTTTAGTTTGGTAAAATAAGTGTAGTCTAGAGCCCTTTGCCTTTCATATAAGCCACTTCTGATTCCAAATGATCAACTAGAAGTCAATTTATTATTTGTTGTTATAATTATAATTGCAATATTACAGACACAGGCATTGCAATGCAGAAACAATATACAGTGCAGCCCTAGTTAGAAAGCTGTAACCACTGACGTTCATCATAGGAAAAAAAAATACCATGTAAGTCAATAGTTACTGGTTTTCAACATTGTTCAAAATATCTTTTTTTGTGTTCAACGGTAGAAAGAAACCCAAACATATTTGTGAAATTAACTGTGAATAAATGACAGAATTTTGGTCTTTAGTTAGTCTAAGGAGCAGAATACTAGACACTTTTTCAATTATTGCAAAATTGTACCTGTAGCTTTCTTATAGCTGATTCTTTTATTTAAAACAAAACTCCTATCAGTAGACATGGATTGGACTGATTGATAAATGATCACGTGTGATAGACTGTTATTGATAGTTGCAGCCACAAACAAAATAAACAGTTTGATAATGAGACAATTAAAAAAAGCTGCTTTACTCCAACCCCAGACAAAGAATTGCAGCGTCGTAATAATACTGTGTGTTTTCTCAATGAGGTCGTTCTCTTAGGATGACTAAAGAGGCAACCAATCATGGTAATGACAGCCTGTCAAAGCCGTGCCTTTGTGACGCACCTCAAAGTATATGTTTGCTCAAAGAGGGTTTGTTAGTTTAAGTTTCTAGTCAGTCCGGTGTCCAGATTTGATAAACTCGCTTTGACAGATTTGCTTGCACAAGGTACATTTATCCGCATAAGTCACACACTGTCCAGGAAGTGTTGCTTTATGCAGATGTGCAAATAATAGTGGCTTTAGCGCTTTATTTTGGCTTTTGTTGACAAATGAGCTGTAAATTCTGAACATAGTTATCATTGCTCATCTGCTAAGTTTGAGAAATTGTTAGTTACTGTATGAGGATTTTTTTTGGTGCAAGCATTCAGTCAGTGTTGTCATGACTGTCCATTTTCCCATGACTCCACAATTAGGCACGACTCAATTTATTGGCTCATAAATGCAAAACCAAGTATCCCTGACAAACAATGGTGATATTCAAATAGAGTACATCTTTTAGGTGCTGCACTTGCCTAGCAACTGCCATTGAAATAAATGGGACTGCTAACAGCACTGCAGTGGTGCACTTTTTTCCAACATGTAAGTTATCGTCAACCAGGGCGAGTATTACAGAGAAATTCTGACTTTTTTTGTATCCTATATGTTTGGTAACCATAGTAATTTCAGTTAGCACCACATTTAGGACAAAAGCTATGACAGAACAGCATTTTTAAAGATTGTTAAATCATAAAGCTTCCGTGAAATTAAAGTTTGTTAAATGTTACTATCAGTATGTTAGATTTTAGGATGTCTGTAAGAGAGTATGCTACAAATCAGTGCATTTAGAATAATATTTGGATTTAGAAAATATAAAACTGGGCATCACAGTGGCTCAGTGGATAGCACTGTCACTTACAGCAAGAAGGTCGCTGGTTCAAGTCCTGACTTGGTCAGTTGGTGTTTCTGTGAGGGGTTTGCATGTTCTCCCTGTGTTTCCCCCACATTCCAAAGACATGTGCTATGGGTTAATTGAATAAACTAAACTAGCTGTAGTATATGTGGGTGCGCATGAGAGTGTATGGGTGTTTCCCAGTACTGGGTTGCAACTAGAAGGGCATCCGCTGTGTAAAACCTGATCTGTATAGGTTGGTGGTTCATTCTGCTGCTTTATAAAGTGACTTAGTCGAAGGAAAATGAATGAATGTAGATATGAAACTGATATAAACATACTACGCTTGCAGTTTTTTTTTCCACATTAAGCTTCTGACACCCACTTGTAACACAGAAGAAGAGAGAAAGTTGACATTAAAGTTACTGGCGATTCGAACAAGCATTGATGACATGCTCCACATTCATATCGCCTCTGGGCATCTTCTTCAATGTGCGCTCACATTTGCGCTTGAGCGCCTTCACGTGGTGTGTACTGTAACTACTGAGAACCATTTTTATTTACCTTTATTTTCAAGTTAGCAACATAAAAACGGTGGACCAATTCCAGCGGTTTTCAGACCTACCGCAACTTGGCGTAGGAGTGCGGTTCCCCAGTTGATTGACAGCTGCGTATTAACATGTCACAGTAGTCATGTGTATAATCATACCAACAAGACAGGACGTGCGCAAAGCAACCGGGAATAAAAGACCTGTTCAGTTCGCTAGGATCATCAATCATCATCAAATGTGAATAAAAAGAGTGAGTTTTACAAGTTTAAAATGTTTTAAAACAGTGCATGTGTTATGCAGCGATTTACTTCAGCTTTACTTTATCACCACAGCCGCTTGTCAGAACAATTCTAAAAGAAGAACCTTCAATCACGATTTGTGGATGTTAAAGGGCACCTATGGTAAAAAATCTACTTTTCAAGCTTTTAGGACAGACATGTAAGTATAGTGTATAGACCGTCATATTGGGGTGATATAAACACACCCAGTTCTTTTTTGTTTTCAATTTAACCACACAAAAACGGTGGACCAATTGGAACAGTTTTCAGAGCGACCACAACTTGATATAGGAGTGCGGTTTCCCCGCGCATCAATCTTGATTGACAGGCACGAATCACCTAATCCTCAGTTAGTCGTTTCATGTCTGCCATTTTCAGCGTGAGTCAAAGTGATATCACGAAAGGAACATCCTTGCTCTGTTTTTAGATGCAAGGCTCATTGGGCTCAACACAAGACCAATATTCTCCACATAATCGCTCTAATCGAAATTATTGGTTGTACCTTTTGGTAGGTTTGCAAACATGTGTACTTTTTATTGTGTCTACCTTAAACTTCAGCCGTTCGCATTTCTCACATTCACAAAAGCTCCCAGTGATCTTAACTAGGTGCAGCTAGAAAAGTGCAAGCACGCTGCCTCATGTGCGTGTCTCTCCATTGGAAATAAAATAACAAACCTGCCGGCAGGTTGCACACCAGCAGCTCCGCTCTGCGTAGCGAGACTGACGCAGCTCCATGCATTTTCGAATCCTGGGTGTGGGTTTCTGTCGGAGTGCACGCGGCAGCGCTTCAAG